AACGACATTTATTTAAAAAAGGAGGTAGTATTACTTATATTTAAAGCGACACTATTACACACTAATCATCTTATATTATATACATATATAGATAATCATATTAGATAATTATTTTGTAGTTAAGTTAGTTTAAATAAATTTATTTTTTTGGTTTAATATTAATAAGTAATTAATTTTAATTGTAAAGATAAATAAAAGTTTTTATTTAATTATTTTATAAGGTACAACATAGATGTCAAATCAAAACTCACCACGACATGATTAATTTGATATATTATATATAAAAAATAATAAATAAAAACTTTATTAACTTTTAATATATATTTATAATTTAAGTTAGTAATTTTTTTATAATTTGAAAATAAATATGAGGGAAAAAAAGATTGGGAAAACAATTATACCTTATAAAATAGAAAATGATCTCCAAGTCAAACAACAAAACTTGAAAAAAAATTGTCATGTAAGATCATAAAACGTGTATTTATGTCGCTTAAACCCAACACATTTAGAAAGCGTGACATTAAAGTTGAAAAAATATACAGTTATTGATACAATGAACCTGGACATTATTCCATTAAATTTGGTGAAAAAAGGTTGAAAATCTGGTCAATATTTCCATTGACCAAATTAAGGTTGATTCTCCGACAGATTACAAAGACTATTAATCTGCCCAATTTTAGTTTGGATTCAGTGAATCTGGACACTACACTCGTTAATCAGGTCATTAATTGACTTAACTAGCAGTAGATCTTATGTTAGACATGTCTCCTTCGGTAGAATCAACTTTTTAATAAGCGCGAACTTATCTTGTATTTTTATGAATTATTAGTGTTATGAAAAAAACTCGTACAAATATGCATTTAAAGCAAAGGGCTAATTGCTACTACCATCGTTTTTTTTAAATGTCATTTTGATTTTATGAATCATTAACAAAATAAGTGACGTTTTGAATCTTCTGTACATATTTTTCAATACTAATATTTTTGATTTATTTAGTTTATTAGTTAATAATATTACAACATTTTATTATATTATAGCTAATTTTGTAGTCATGAGTCAATCACCTATCAACTGTTTGTTGGAAATTGTGATTAGTGTAGACGGCAAATCGGCAGTACAAATTTGGACCTGTGACAATCAGCAATAAATGGCTACACATATTTTTCGGCCCATAATATTAAAGTATCAGGCAAATTGGACTGACCCAAATTGGGATAATGAAATTTGAGCCCAAACCCAAACAAAAAATCGGGCCGCAGGGTAGAATACATACCGTTTCCCGCCAACTACCTGAAACTCGGTGGCAGTTTTGTGATAAAGTAACGATTCTGAGGTCAAATTTTTAGAACCACAAATGAGTGGTGAGTGATGGATATACACACACAGCATAGGATAATGATAGAGTGTCAATTGAATGCAAAAATCATAAAAAGTGAAAAAAAAAAGAAAAAAAAAATATGGCATTTTCTATCAACACAGCTAATCTTAACTTACCAGTTAATAATCATACGTTTGGCAAACAAGATTATTGTCCAAATAAGAATATTTATGTAAAGCCATTGAGTTGCACACAAGTTCTACAACAGCAGGTACTCTTTTTCTTTTTTAATTAATTTAATTTGAATTCTAAGTCATAAACAACAGAATTCTGAACTTTTAATTTGAATTTTCAAGATCATGTGTGTATAAAAGGGAGATTCTAATGTCCCATTACGGAACTATTCCGTCGGGGGTTTGTAACCATTAGATCAACTATTCACGACGGTTATATGGTGATCTAATGGTTACAAATCCTGACAGAATGGTTCCGTAACGAGACTGTAGCATTACTGTGTATATTTTAATATGGTTGTGAATATTTTGACTAATGACATTTTTTATTTTTTTTTTTTGTGACCGTTGATTTTCAAAGGTGGATTGTGTGGTGATGTGTGAAGATTGCAGTGGCAAAGGTTGGCTGCAATGTGATCTTTGCAAAGGGCAAAAAACGAACGTGAAAGGCGAAAACAATCGGATTTTTCGCCGGTGTCCGGTTTGTAGAGCGGTAGAGTTCGTGTTTTTGTAACTTTTTTTGTCTAAAAAAATGATAAATGATGTTTGATTATAAGATTTTTTTTTTATTTTTTTATTTTTTTTATTTTTTTTTATTTTTTTTTCCTTGTTGGCAGATTGGAAGAATTTTGTGCTCAAAATGCAAAGTGTACAAGTGTGTTACATTTCCAGATACCACAGATGGAATGGAGTTGAGCTTTTGAACAAAATTGGGAAAAAAAAAAATTAAAACTATTTGTGGCATAACGTTGTTAGAATTGAGGTTGGCTAAGTGGTAAGCAACTTGATGTCGCTTAAGAAAGGTCTCGGGTTCGAGTCCTTGTGCACCCGAGTCCTTGTGGATGCAGAAAACCATTGTTGGAAGACTCACCTACCACTGCCAGATGTGCGATTCAAGTCGACCAACGAATTAGTCGGGATATAGCTTCGTAACCATAGCTGGCCACCAAAAAAGAAAAAAAAAAAAAAGAAAAAGAATTGAGGCTTTGCAACCTTAATTTGATGTATAGTCTTTATCTTACCCATTAATACAAGAGTTGTATGATAATATATTGGGTACTTTTTTTTTTTTAAATATTTTCCTTTCTTTTAATGTGATTTTCTCCTCATTGTTTTCTTTACTGGAAAAGAACTTATCATCAATATATAAGGTTATAAGAAATAAGTTCTTTAAGTCAAGGAGGAAAACATCCGCCTTCCATTAAAGAAAGTGGAGTTTGAAAAAGAAGCAATTTTAACAATAGCATGAGCGCGTTACATTGTTGGCCGAGCGACACATATGTTGTAATCGACTAGACACTGTCGCTTTAGACATTAAATAATCAATCTCTTTTGCCCAAGAGCGAATATAGCCATGAGTCTCTTTGTAGTCAGTAACTGCTTGTACTGCCAACAGAGAGTCTGTGAAAATAAACAGAGGGGCTTGGTGCAACATTCCACATTTTTCCAATTCTTCTTTAATTGCCAATAACTCACAACGAATAACAGAACCTGGATTCATGACTGACATACCAAAATCAAAAAGAGCATTACCTTGATCGTCCTGAGAAATACTACAGATCCCAAATCTATTGGCTTTCATATTAACACTTGCGTCAACATCGACGTGAATTGAGTGTTTGTGAGGTGGACTCCAAATGTGGGGAGCTGGATGACCTTCAATACTTGGAGTGACCCTCGAATTGCCAATAGATATTTAGAAGTTAAGCTTCAGGTTTTCAGCTCTAGCTACGCACTTGAGTTCTTCATTAATATTGGGGCCATGAATTACTCGTTGCATCTCTCTCTAAATTAGCCAGGGAGACAATGCAAAATTTTCAAATTCTGGAGTTGACAGACTTTGTTTCATCCACAGACATAAGTCCACAGAAGAGCTATTTTTTGCCTTTTTAACTAAAGTGTAAAAGTTATTATTTTTTCAAAGGTGCACCATCCAGTGACAGAAAAAATAGAATGGTGGGTTGAATCGGGAGGAGAATTGCACAACTTACAACCGCTACACGAAATGATAGGATGTTTAGCTAAATTTAAAGCCGAAAGAATAAAATCATTCGTTTAAGGACCACATGAATTTCCACAATTTTTGGATCCGATTATCAAATTGATTTGTAGAAAGAACGAAAAACCCCATTTTAACTTTGTAGCCCTCTTTAACTGAGTAATTGTTTAACTAAAAAAATTTAAAATCTTTGGCGAAATCGCAGCTACAGAAAAAAAATAAAACTAAACAGCAAAGGAAAATGAAAACTTGAATAAAAAATTCAGCTGGACTGTACAGTGTACAGTACAGAACAAGCAACGAAAATGAGCTCAAAAACCCTAGCCACCATTTGAACTGAATAAACCCTCTCTAAAACCCTTCCCTCCCAGATCACCTTTCAAGACAACGGCGAAGGTATCTAGAGAGAGAAAAAATGCCGCTGGGAGAGAGGTACGCCGGAGACAAAAGCGAGTCGCGTTACTGCGGCGTAGACGCGGAGTTCAGCGATGACATGCCGAACCTCCTTTCTCTCAACATCAATGGCGGCTTCGACTTCGTTCTCGCTACCCTGGTAAGTTGATTGACTTCATTGGGTTGCACTTGTACATCCTGCATTGCTTTGTTGTACTTGGGGTGCCCGGGTCATTGTGCTGTGTGCTGCATCCTCTTCGTTTCAGTCGCAGTGTGTTTGGATAACGCCTATAGTTAAGTGCCTCCGGCTATAATTGACTCCTGTCCAGTTACTTGGTGTGCGTATTATCACACACCTTGAAAGGAATAGATAGAATGAGTTAATTTGTGAAGAAAAATAATGACGTAGAAGAGTGAGAAATATGGAAAAGGAGATTGAATAGCTTGAGCTTGATATTGCCGTTACGTGTTGCGGATTTTGTTTTTCTTTATTGTTGGTGACCAATTAGCCAGTCATACATCAGCTGAAAGGCTGTCTATCTGTGTGAATGGTCAGTAGGCTCACCTAGATCATTATGTTGATGGCCTCATATGGGAGAGACTTCAGTTCTTCACTGGGGCTGTCAACTACATAACATCATGAGCCTAACATGTTGGGATTTCATAAATTGATGAATAGTAATTTACTTTTCGAAATATGTGTGGTTGATACAATGATTTCAATACTGCCTCATTATCCATTATTCACCAATGCCGGTGCTTCATTTTTTATCCAAATTAATTTTACATATAATGAGATTCATATCCATGAGATAATGAGAAATAAAAAAATTTTATGTCCTGCCCACCTGTGCTTATAAATTCCTCGATGCAGATGGATCCTAACTATAGGCCTAGTCTTGTGGGCAATGAAACTAGCAGATCTCAAGCTTTGCCATTTGCTGGGTCAGACTTAGTTCTAAGCCCTTCTCAGTGGTGTAGTCATGTTGTTGGTTTGTACCTTTTCCTTAAATTTTATTTTTGGTTATCCTTGTTCCAGATTCTTATCTTTAATCTGGGCAAACTTGTTTGTCACATGTATGGTCAGTTGTAATATGAATTATTTTATGTGAAATATGAATTCCTGTAATGAACTTCAGTTGTTTCCTAGGCAAAATAAGCTCATGGATCGACTTGGATTCTGATGATGAGACTCTTCGGAAAGATTCAGAAGTTACGCTGAAACAAGAAATAGCTTGGGCTGCTCATTTATCTCTGCAGGTGATTTATGATCTTAGGCTTCTGTACCGTTTTACAATCTCATAATGTTTTTTTTTTAGTGTATTTCTTGATTTTCAAGCGTTACATTGACATTCCATGCTTTATTTTCATGATTGATCAATCACTGTTGTGTAGCTTGCTAATATTGTATTTTTCATCTGCAGGCTTGCCTATTGCCTACACCGAAGGGAACTTCTTGTGCTAATTATGCAAAATGTTTGAACCAGATTTTGCAAAATTTAGGCAATATGCAGGTACGCTTTTGAGTCTTGACTATTTTCCACTGTGTTGGTAAATAGGTTCATAATTACATGTACTTACATTGTGCTTTCGCAGTTGTTCTTATAATTTACTTCCATGTTAAGTTGTGGCTTAGGATTCCACTTGAGAAATCTGAGGATGACATAAAGGCCTCTAACCCAATTTTATCGGTGAGTGATGGCAATTTAATTTCATCTAAATATTTGTTAACAGGGCTTTCAGTTTTATGTTTATTTCTGGTGATTTGTGGCTTTGTGTTGGTTTTGAATTTTTGGCACTGTGTTACTGCCAATAACCAGGTCAATGTGGCTCATTCCACTGTCTTCTCATTCAGTTTCTCATTGCTTCCCTTGCTTTACCTAATTAGCTCGTATATCTTTTTCCTCTGTGTCACACAATGAAGTGAATGATAAGATTTGTTTAGAGTAGAATAGTTTCCATGCTTCTTAAGAGTCTGTACTCTTATATAAGATTGTATTGTCTTTCACACTAGACTGGTTTTTGCTTTTATCACTTCATATTTGTTTCATTATCATTTGTGGTATGTCCTGGCGACTTTTGCTTTAGTCTTGTGCTGTGTTTTATTTTTCCTCCAGGGCAATGGCCAGACTGATTCATGGGAATTATGGAATTCCTTCCGGCTTCTTTGTGAACATCATAGTCAGCTCTCTGTTGCACTTGATATTCTGTGAGCGTACAAATATAGTAAATGCATATGGTCTATCCATATAATGTTTATATATTTAGCTGCTCAATGAGGCTTTTTCTCCTTGTATTGGTCAGGCCATCATTACCATCAGCTTCCTCAATTACAAGATGGTTTGGAGAGCCTGTTAGGGCAGCCATAATAAATACAAATGTAATATAACGGGTATTTTTCGCAAGTATATTTTTGGCAGGCCTTTTATTTTTTTATTGTTATCTCAGTGTTTTAGCCAGTTTGGGTTCTCAAGGTCATCTTTTGCCTTAATGGTTGAATTGCCTTTTTGACAGTCTTTTCTAACGAATGCACGGGGTTATCCTTGTCTATCAAAGCGCCACCAGCGATTAACAACTGCATTTTTCGATCATCCAATTCAGGTACTGGTCTAACTCATTAGTCCTGAATCCTAATTCTCTATTCTCTATCCTCCTTTAGGGTGTGTGCTTCTATTGTGGTATTTATTTAAGCGTCGGGGTGTTCTTATTTTAGATTTGTATGATATTTTTTGTAATTTGGAAAATGCTTTTACTTGTATATGACACCATTACTGATGAACTTGGTAATCTCAGTGGTTGAAATTTGTTGACCCATTAATTTGTTTCTTATTTTGTAGCGCTCCCATCTATATCCTGTTGCCTTATAAAATGCAAGTCTAGTTAAATCTTCATGATGCTTTCCTCCGCATCTATCATAAACCATTACTGATGATTGCCCAACTTAGATCTGGAGTGTTTAAAAAACTTTAGTTTTGACTTTTGTATATATATTTTATTTTCTGTACTTGTAGATAGTGATTTCTGGTCGACCAGTACACAATGTACCTTTGGGTTCTTCAGAATCAAATGTTGAGGGTAAGACCTTGTTATCAAATTTATATATAATTGTTCCATAGAATTTCAACTTGCTGTTTAACAGCAGTCCTTAGCCTAGGATTGTTTATTTATCAAGTTACTGGTTCTTGAGACGTTTTGAATGGATGATTTTCATTCTCATTTAAATAGGTTTATGATGATTTTGTTCAGGTGGTTGGAGACACCCCTTAAAGTCATACTTGGACTATGTTGCATTTTTATATCAAAAGATGGATCCCTTACCTGAACAGGAACGCTTTGAGGTAGTGACCTTGGGAGTATACCACTTAACTTTTCTTGTACCTTAATTGTTTATTAATGTGTGTTTGTACTTCCTCTTTGTTACGTTCCAGTTTGGGTACAGAGATTATCTGCAGTCACCCTTACAGGTAAAGCTTCTACGGAACTTTTTGGCTCTTTTTTCTCACCAAGAAGTTTTGGCCTTATGATTCCACCAACTTACTTACAATTATATTGTTCCTAATGTGCAGCCTCTCATGGATAATTTGGAGGCCCAAACATATGAAACATTTGAAAAGGACATGGTTAAATATAGCCAGGTATGCAATAATTTGGATAAGTTTTTAAGCTCATTTGTTCGTAAAAGTGGTACTCCTGCTATTAGCTGGTATAGACCAGAATTTTAATTAATATTTAAAAGAAGCAGGATAGTGTACTGTAACTCTTATGGAGATATATATTCTGGCATGGTATAAGTGCCACTGGCATCTTTTCTTGCAAGATATTTATCTAAGGCTTCTCGTTCTATTTTCTTGCTGTGGGGCATCTATTTTCTTCTTTGTCTCTTCTGTATACTTCAAACTTCAAATGAATGGTTGAAGTCAATCCAACTTGATTTTTATGAATTTGTTTTTTTATTGTTATCAAATCCCTTTGTGACAGTACCAAAGGGCAGTTGCCAAAGCTTTGGTTGACAGAGTTCCAGATGAAAATGCCTCTACAGTGACAACGGTGAGTTCCATATTTCTGTTCAAGCATTTATTCCAAGGTACGCTAGCTGAATCTTGTTAATATTCTGTTTTCCCTGTCACAGGTTTTGATGGTTGTTGGTGCTGGCCGAGGGCCTCTTGTCCGAGCATCATTGCAGGTATTATCTCTGCAAATTAGAGAATGTAAGTGGACATAAACTTGTGACTGATTGACTTGTGGTTGTTTCTTCTCTCCTACCCTGGATTGACAGGCTGCAGATGAGATGGAACGGAAATTAAAAGTATATGCTGTAGAAAAAAATCCAAATGCAGTTGTAACACTCCATGTAAGTTGTAGAAACGTTTCATCTTGCTAATGTATACGGCTGTTTTCCAGAATATGCTCATGTCTGATGCTAATTTCTGTTTCCCTATTAAGCTCCTCTCTGGCTCTCTCTTCTGGTTTGACTCTTTCGCTGAGTTAAACGTGTGGAAGTATGTATGTTGATACATAGAACTTCATACTCTGTTGTAAGCTTTGTATAGAATTTCATTTATGCAGGTAGAGTTGCTGTATCATCTCTATTATAGTGTTGAGGGTACGACTTGGTTGAGAAGTTGTACCCAATGGTTATGATCCTACTCTATCTTACCCAACACTTAACTGCTGTTTGAATATAAAACCAATAATCTGTAGGACAAAATATGTAGTCCGTGGTATTATGTTCTCACAAAAGGTATATTCAGTTAACAGATGAAATAAGAAACAATTCATTTCTCTGGCTCATGGTAGTGTACAGTATAGCCGTAACAACTGGAAGACTGCTTATATCATACAACAAACTGTCAAATTGTCTAGCATCATATATGTGTTATATTAGTGAAATGGAGCTAAAGTGTCTGGAACTTACAATCTCAGTGCTTATGCTTTTGGCTACATCAGATGCTAAGTTCTACATGATACAATTTCACAAATCATACAGGGCATAGTTTCTCAAATTAGAGCTTTTCAGATAAAACATTTATGGATTTGCAACTAAAATGTTAATGAAGATTTTCTACATCCAAATTCCAGTAAACTGGATGATACTATTTATCCATATTCGTGCTAGGTATAAGCTACTGATGTTAGTACTGTTTACATATGTTTTTAAACAGAGTTTGGTGAAGCTAGAGGGCTGGGAAGATGTGGTTACCATTGTTTCCTGTGATATGCGACATTGGGATGCTCCAGAGAAAGCTGATATCTTGGTATCGATCTAACTGTGTTGTTAGTTCTAAAGGAAGAAGCTTATTTGATGTTATGTTCTAATAATTACATCTGCTAGCTTTCTCTTATTGTTTTACTTGATATAGGTAAGTGAGTTGCTGGGATCTTTTGGGGACAATGAGCTTTCACCTGAATGTCTTGATGGTGCCCAGAGGTTTTTGAAGGAAGATGGAATTTCTATCCCGTCATCGTAAGTGATCTTCCTCTTGTCTCACCTTTTCTATTTTGACGTGAAATTAACTACTTCTGCTGGGTCCTTTCTATCTGGTATAGTTATTTTTGTGGTCTTCTGGCAATATTGTTGCGTGTTTTTCTATTTTTCTTGATTTTCTTTCTGAAAAAGGAGTTTTTCACTTGTGCTGGGTCCTTTCCATTCGGTGTAGTCTTTGATGGTGGCTTCTGGCAGTATTGTTGCATGCTTTTACTTTCTTTTTCTTTTTTTTTTTGTTTTTTCTCAAAAAGGAGTTTTCTCTGCCATGCATAAGAAATATTGGGAATGTGGTTTGCTTAGACATCATGCTTAACACTGCACTGGCAAAATCATAGAATTATCTGGGTTTTTTTATTAAGCTTTGTCATGTTCATTAATTTTCTATGTATTTGTTCATTGTTCGCTGAAGCAATGTCCTGTTCAGTTGCAAAATCTTGGAAATAACCTCTGAAACTTCCAATAAATGTATTTTGCATTTCCTAAAACAAGGGTTTTCCTCACCTAAATACTCATCCTTAAAATGCGACTTCCAGCATTATGTTTGCTTGAAGTGCTTAAATACTCCACATGCACCTGCGTGTTTTTATTTGAGTTGAGGTTATATTTGTTACAAAAACTAGCCTGACGATTTTGAGGTTGACCAGTTATTGTTACTTCTATCTGCTGTTGCCTTGGCAGATATACGAGTTACATTCAGCCAGTGACTGCATGCAAGCTGTACAATGATGTAACATTTTCTTCTACATGTTCGATTATAATGATTCATTTGTTCCAACTCTTTCCTTGATTATCAGTTACTTACTATTCACTTGTTTTTTAATCAATCCAGATCAAGTCACATAAAGATCTTGTGCACTTTGAAACTGCTTATGTTGTCAAGCTGCACCGTGTGGCAAGACTCGCACCCAATCAGCCGGTTAGTTTCTTCTTCTGGATGCATTATGCTGTTTTGTTTATTATAAAATTTATTTGTGTGGCATTACTGGTTCTGGCAAGCTCACATATCTATTTGCTTGATCAGGTCTTCACTTTTGTCCATCCAGAAGACTTGACTAAGACGAACAACCAGCGTTATAAGAAGCTTCACTTTGATATCCCAAGTGACACTGGCTCAGCCTTGATTCACGGTATGTTTTGGTGAAAACCTAATTTCTTTACTTTTGCTATAGATTATTTATTTATTATATTGGATTCTGTGGATGTTCATGAAAAATAATTGAATAAACTGAGTTCTGCAGAGGCAATAGATTTACATGCGGTTCGCTTCATTAACAGGATTTGCAGGTTATTTTGATGCCACGCTGTACAAAGATGTACACCTTGGTATTGAGCCATCAACAGCTACCCCAAATATGTTTAGCTGGTACGTGGAAAGCTAAAGAGTAGGAAAAAAAAAGATCCCTAGTAAAGAAAAAAAAAATGTTTCTTTAGAATGAGCTGTCAATGGGATGCACTATGAATATTAATGCATTTTAGAAAATTGAATGAATTTTCCTTTTTATATACAGGTTCCCTATATTTTTCCCGTTGAGGACGCCAGTGTATATTCGACCTGGTACACCTTTGGAAGTTCATTTCTGGCGCTGTTGTGGTCCTACCAAGGTATCTTAGTAGAAAGCTTTTTTTATCAAACACTAGGAATATAGGTTTTTGAGAATGCGTTGAGAACTTAGAGTCTTACAGAAAGAAAGAAGATAATCATCGCTAAAGTAGTGCCAAATTACTATTTCAGAAAAATTAAATTAGGAGTGTTGTTTGGTAAGCACCATAAGCTATCTTATAGTTTATTTGGTTAGTTTACAAGCTTCCCGTATTCAAATAAGATTGGTTTGGTGGGAAAAAAGTTCGAGTTCATCTTATAAATTAGCTTTCTTGTGTAACTTTTCAAATAAGCCCGTTGATTTTTTTTTTTTTTTTTTTTTTCACCTGACTTATCATCTAATTTTACTATCTTTTCTGCTATTAGCTATCGACTATAAACTCGAAATTCACTTATTCTTATCAGCTATCAACTAGCTTATCAACTGGGTTTACCAAACATAACCTAGATACATTAGCAGAACAACTCAAATTACAGTAATGCTCTCTCGCCAATTTTACTGATTTTATTAGATAAAATGTTTCCAGCAATGAAATTGCAACAGAAAGTAACAAAATCTGTATTGAAATGGAAACAGGTTTGGTACGAGTGGTGCGTGACATCACCATCAGCTTTGCCTATGCACAACACGAACGGTCGTTCATATTGGGTCGGGCTGTGAGTTTGGGTATGCTGTGCACATGAAAAATAGCTTCATTTCGAATTGCTAGATGAGCCCAAGTATATTACTGGCATTGTTGTATACTACTAGTTGAGATCTGCTTAGCAGTAGAGAGAGGCATTGATTGCTACCGACGCTTTAGAAACCTGATAACAGTTTATTTGAGTTCTCACTAAAATCTGTTAAATTATTTTAATTTTTTTTTTTTGAAGTGCTGTTTTGGAAGTTTTGCAAGATTATTAATAAATTTATATTTATTTTTGGGTTCATAAAGTTATTATTTTCTACTTTCATTATATTTTTCTCCTTGATACTTAGTCAAAATTGTTTGTTATAAAACATGATATACTTTGGCACATTGTAAACATCTTTTGTGTGTTTCTTCAACAAATGGTTCAAAAATCTGAATGGTAATAGACTAATACAAGCATTGTGTAAACAATATTATATAATAGACTAATTAGAAATAAAAAATAATTCATGCATATAATTTTATAAATTTCAAAATCCTCTCTATATATAATTCTCGAATGCGCTGAGTCTACGTGGCTGTTTCTGGTGCTTCAGAATCCTACTTGGCGAAGAATCATGTTTCGTAGTTAGGTTTGGACAAAATATATTATATATTAATAATTAATAATCTAGGTTCGGTCATTTCATAAATATTATTTAGCTAACTTAGGTATTTTAATATCAATTATACTAATATAACCCTTTAATTTTTTGTAATTTTAGATAGTGAGTCACTACGTGACTAATATATCCCTGGCTTTTGATTTGTTTCCTACAATTAGCTAAATATAAAATAAATAAATTATATTTATCCTTATAATCATAAAAAATAATAATATTTACTAAAATTCATTAGAAAAATAAAATTATTTCTTAATTGATATATTTATGTTTAATGTAGTTATATGTTGTATGTTAAAAAATTATTATAATATAACACAAGTAAATCGCACAAATAAAAAATGTCATATTAAATATGATAATAATATTATTATTTTTAAAAGATACTTAAATTTTCAACTACCTTTTTTCAGTAATTTTAAATTTTAAGAAAAAAAATTAGCAAGCATCCGTGTAATACACGGACGTTGTACTAATAAATAAATATATTAATGATGTATCTGTTGTTGCAAGGTAAAAACATTATGAAAAACATTAATTTTAAACATTACACTTAAAATATTAACTAATTAATTAATTAATCATTATACATAATAGTTCATGATAAATAAAAAAAGAATAATATTACATAATAGCACAGTTAACTAATCCATTAGTGAGACACTGGGATAGAGCCTAATAAGTGCCGGGCCCAATCGACTTCAGCCCAAATTGACGACCCATTTACCTCTCATCGCCCGTGTTGCCCTAACGCTTGCCTTACCTCTCTTCGTCGCCATTACTGATGCTTTTTTCATCTATTTACACACTCAAATTCATCCATCATTTTTCACTTGTGATTTGCACAACCGTTCAAATCTGATCGAGATTTGGATCCCTAACGATGTACAACGGGATAGGGTTGCAGACCCCTCGGGGCTCCGGCACCAGCGGCCACGTTCAGGCGAATGCCTTCAACCTGAGAGCGAAGGCGAATCGAGTCGTCACCGGCCCGAGCAAGGGTTTCGAATCGGGCCAGGGGGCCGCAGGCGTGACCTGGGGACCCAACAAGGAGATACTGGAGCACGACCGCCAGCGGCAGATCGAGCTCAAGCTCCTCGTGTTGCAGGAGAATCTGTCCGATCAGGGGTACACGGACGCCGAGATCGAGGAGAAACTGGATGAGGCGAGGAAATCGCTCGAGGCGAAGGAGAATGAGGAAAGGGGAGATAATGCACTCGTGACATCTGAAAAGTAGGTTCTTCTTCCTTTTGCTGGAAATTTCATTTGTGTTTGTTTGTTATTCCAATTATATGCAAGCATAAGGATTAAGGTGTGTGTTTCATCTTTTTTTTTTTTTTTTTTTGTCTCCTTCGAGTATTTGAAGTGAATATGGTTTTATTAGAATCAGTTGCAGCCTTGAAGGACATTTTTGGTTGATTGTTAGGGGTCTTAAAAATGGTTCGGTGGATATTTGAGCTCAAACGAGGGACTCGAGGTGATCCTATGACATTTTTATGCGATCCCAGTTCGAAACTTCCCCTCTTTAGCTTGTCTATTATTGTAAATGCGAAAACATTGTGCGAGTTGATTTGCAACTGTCAATGCAATTCGATTGAAATAAAGCAAATCTGAGGGCCAACATACCACCTTGTATTGATTTCGAATAATATGGTGCAATTTTCCAAGAACTTGAATAACACGAGTCAGTGTTACCAAATGGTGGTCATCATTATGCCATGTTGTAATGTCTGGAACCTAACTGCCTTGAGAAAATTATGAAGGATGCAGTTTTGGCTGAACATCAATCTGCCGCCATTGATAACTTTGACATGAATTATTGGTATTATTTGTATAATACATGATACATCTTTGGTCTTCTCCAGGCTGTTCTTGTGATTACTAATGCAATTCAAAGGCTTGATTTTTTATTTTTTATTTTTTTTTGGGTTCTTCAAGAACACCTTGAATCTTCTCGAGCTAATTTTGAGAGCTCTTGAACTTAAACTTGAAAAAATAAAGAAAGTTAGTATAATATATAATTTTATATATCTACAAATAGTTTCGAAGTTTTTCTGAATCTATGTTTTGTGTGTGGTTAGGATATCTGAGACACAGACCTACCAGGTAGCTGCACGGAAAGAAAGTTAGATGGAAACTTTAAAGGCTGCTCTTGGAATACAATCTGATGAAGATAGAGAAAAGAAGCTCCGTGATATGGAGGTTGGCGAATTTGTAGAGGGTCTCAGTGAAGATGAACCAAGAAATATACACAAAAAGGACAGAAGAGATGTGAAGGTTTCAAAGAAGATTGAATCTGGTAGAGACAAAAAAGCACCAAAGTAAGGAGAAAAGCAGAAGAAGCCATGATGACTCATCTGATTCGGATAGCATTGAGAGGCATGGGACTAGAGGAAGGCACAAGAAAAAGGTTAGAGCTAAAGATAGTAGTGATGATTCTGACATTGATGTTGGGAAGAGAAAGAAAGAATTGTCAAGTAAACATAAGAAAGTTGCAAGACATGTCAATCGTTCCTCTGAGTCAGGATCTGAATCTGAATCTAGCTTTGATTCTAGTTCCGAATCTGATTCTGACAAAGGTTATGAGAAAGCCCGCCGGCGGTATGATTTGATGCTGACCACAAGTCTAGAAGAAGCTCGAAAAGTGGAAAGCAACAGCCAAAGAGTTTTTTAAAAAGTAAGCGGCACGATTTTGAAGATGACAGCTCTGAAGGAGACCATGAAGGAGACCATGCACGTGACAGTAAAAAGTCCAAGAGCAGAAAACAGAATTCCCGCGATAAATACAGCTCGGATGATGACTTCAAACAACGTGAGAGGGCGGAACAAACTAGGAAAGAGCCTCCCAAGGGCATGGGGAGAGATTCTGATGACGAGTTTGTCGCTGATAGATACAAGAAGGATGAAGAAAGCACCTGATCCAAGAAAATGATTCAAGAGAAATCCCGTGCGCATGAGGACCCTCTTGAAAATAGTAGAAGAGGTCGGGCCGAAAGCGGAGATGAAGATGCCGAGAGGTACGGTGACTCGGATTCCGATGAAAGAACCAGAAAGCGAATAGAGAGATACGAGAGAGACGCCAATGAATTAAAAGCTTCCCGTGGCAGGAGAGAGAGGACCCAAAAAATCGAGTTGATGATTTTGGTAAATACGAGAAAAGCAGACGTGAGGATGATACCACTGACAGAACTAGAAGCAATGATCGAAATCGCGATAGCACCCAAAGAGTTAAGTCAAAAAATCAAAGTGATCACGTTGGTGGCTCGAGTGCCAAGCGTGGAGAGAAGGATTATCCTCGTGAAACTGATGGAAGAGATAACGAAGTTCTGCCATCATGAATATAAACAACTAGTAATTACATCAACGATCCAATTTCTTCATTCATCAATATTTATTTTAGTGGTGGTGATTCTCGTTTTTTTATCCCGACAAAAAAATCCGTTGCTCCGCCCTCTTTATTCCACTCGAAAATTGATTATAAATTATTATTATTTATGTGATTTTTTTTTTACATGAAAAGTTTAAAGTTGACATTACCGAAGACTGTTTCACCTCTGTCAAATGCTATGGCACTTGCCAGAGGAAGGTTGCAAAAATGGCTTTACCAATAAAAGGTACGAGATTCGATAAATTCATAAAAATAAAAAAAATTAACAGATTGGCTGACTTGAGTTTTCTGTTGCTATACTTCACAATGTGCTTAAAGGTAGTTCTTTGTTTTTGTTTGTTGTGTTCTGTTAGGTTTGTTTTCGTCATTTTGTTTGATTCAGGAGCATGTAGTTTCACTAGGTTTTGAGGCATTGAGGCTCCTGCTTCTTTTCATGTGTAGTTTGATTTATAGTGTGTTTTATGAGGCTCTAGACCATTATGCATGTTGATGTGTCTCTCAGTTTTTCTTTTGGTCTCATTGGGTATTTCCCTTGTATTCGAACTTTGTTCGTGTTTGAGTTTTATATAGAATGTTTTATCGTTCTGGAAAAAAATATATATATTTTAATATTTTTTTTTTCTTCCTTTATGTTTAGGATTGACATCAATAGACTTCTCATGTCGAGGTCGCGTGGTGATTGTCGGTGTGGGGATGGACGCAGCTAAAGTTATTAGTAGTTTGAAGAAATTTCTCCCATGCGAAATTGAAGACCTATGGAGATGCCACTCCTGAAAGAAGTGAAGGGGCGGATGGACCCTAATTATATTTTCAAATGAAAGCTGGAATTCTTGAATTATTTTCTACATCGGTAACTTAAATGCTAGAATTATGGGATTTCTTTGTCTACTTGTTGTCTGCGGGATAATTTCACTAGTGAAAGTGTATGTTTTGTTTGTTTATTTATTCTTTTCTTTCATTGGGATAAATATCAAACTGCAATTTTTTGATCATTGTCATTTAGTCCAAAATTAAAGATAAAAGTCACTGTCCAATTACTATGTTGTCACTTTTATCTTTAATTTTGGACTAAATGACAATGATGAAAAAATTGCCAGTTTGATATTTATCCCAAGGACAGTGATTCAATAACCCGTATTTGGGTCGAAAGGATAAAAGAAAAGAATAAATGAATAGACAAAACATACACCTTCACTAGTGAAATTATCCGCAGACAGCAAGTAGACAAAGAAATCCCATAAAACTAGCATTTAAGTTATATATGTAGAAAATCATTCAAGACTTCCAGCTTTCATTTAAAAATATAATTATGGTCCATCCGCCCCTTCACTCCTTTCAGGAGCTGGTCCATCCGCCCTTCACTCCTGGCAGCTCCATAGGTCTTCAATTTCGCATGGGGAAATTTCTTCAAACTATTAATAACTTTACCTGCGTCCATCCCCACACCGACAATCACCACGCGACCTCGACGTGAGAAGTCTACTGATGTCAATTCTAAACATAAAGAAAGAAAAAAAAAAGAATATTAATATATATATATATTTTTTCCAGATAGAACATTTTATATAAAACTCAAACAAGAACAAAGTTCGAATACAAGGGAAATACCCAATAAGACCAAAAGAAAAACTGAGACACATCAACATGCATAATGGTCTAGAGTCTCATAAAGCACACTATAATCAAATTAAAAAGGAAAAGAAGCATGAGTCTCACTGCCTCAAAACTTAGTGAAACTACTTGCTCCTGAATCAAACTAAATGACAAAAACAAAGCTAACAGAACACAACAAACAAACAAAAACCAAGAACTACCTCTAATCACATTGTGAAGTATGGCAACAGAAAACTTTTAATTTTTTTTTTTTTTTTTATGAATTTAATGAATCTCGTACCTTTTATTGCTAAAGCCATTTTTGCAACCTTCCTCTGGCAAGTGCCATAGCATTTGGTAGAGGTGGGGTAGTTTTCGGTAATGTCAATTTTAAACTTTTCTTGTTAAAAAAAATTCACATAAATAATAATACTTTATGATTACTTTCAATTTTCGAGTGGAATAAAGAGGACAGAGCAACGGATTTTTCGTCGGAATAAAAAAGTGAGAATCACCACCACTAAAATAAAGATGATGATTGAATAAATTGTATCGTTGATGTTATTACTAGTTTTTATTTATATAATTCATTATGGCATAACTTTGTTATTGTTAGCTTCTTAAATATTTTAAGATGGTAAACTTATTTATTATTAATAGTTATTGTTCTTAATGTCTTATGTCAGTTGATGATCATGAAATTTTTAAGGATGTTATACCTTTGACTTTATTATTACTAGTACTCGACTTGTACAAATCGATATAAATAAAATATTGTGAGTTATTTCTATGTATATACTGATTAATAATTCTTCTTGCAAAAACTTTTTGCAGGCAAAATTTATAATTAAAGGAGCTGAAATATTTATTTTTTTAAATTATGTTTATCATATTGGGTGTAATGTATATTTTGGTATTTTTTTTCTTGTGAATTATTTATTATTTATTTAAGAATTTCAAATACGTTTTTTATTTTTCAAAAGAAGTTAATTTAAATGTAACCACGAGAATAACATCTACTCACTTTAAATAATCAACACATTATATGGTCAGCTGTAGGTAAATTAAACGTTTAAAATGATTTTTGTAATTTTGAAGTGATTAATGTGTTGACTATTTAATAATTAAATGAGAGGTTAAATAAATAAAAAGTAACGGTTTTTGGCACTGTCTTACTGCCAATAACCAGGTCAATGTGGCTCATTCCACTGTCTTCTCATTCAGTTTCTCATTGCTTCCTTGCTTTACCTAATTAG